GAAACAAGCCAGAACTGGAAGCCTCCCATTTCTTAACTGGAACATCAAAAGGCATGTGTAATATGTGTTGCCTCAAGTACCCTGAACACCAAAAGGACATGCAAGGATTGGCACATGAGCTACAGGACTTGCCCCAACACCTCCTGAGGTTAGTTTTGTGTGGTTTTGAAAATGAGATCATTCCTGAGATAGCAACTACTGCTATCAGCAAGTAAACACTCCTAATCCTAGCTAGCAACTGCTATTAACATGGTAATCTACTACAGCTACAAAATACCTTCAGTGGGTTAGGAGGCTAAAAGTTAGGGTTTTCATGATTTATTCTATCCCTACGAAGCTAGCATAAAAGCATCTGGCACAGATCACTTAATAGCTAGATTGCTTAACTCTGTGAGGACTTAATGACTTGGTTTCTGCCCAACAAATAATATCTTTTCCAACTCATCATTCCACAGATGAAATAAAAAACTCTGAAGATGGTGTCTGTAACTTCAATCACCCGTAGCAAACAGAACAGAAAGGCAACGGTATTTGAAATGGACCCCCCAGAGCATCAGCTCTACACAGCTCCCAATAAACAGTCCTTAGTTATTTCTAAGTTTTAGATGAGCCTAGGGGATTAGTGCGGGTGAAAAATAGCATCTTATGCTAGAAACTTGAAATAGCCATTGGTGCAGTATTTGGAAGCTGACTAGGCAAGAGCCATTTTCCCATTCACAAGGTATCAACCCGAAAGAGCCACATAGCTACAGTGTCACTGACTCTTATTTCCTTTCAGCTGCAAACAAACTATAGTCAGACCTACTATTTACGACCCCGGTTCTGCAGCTGAAGCCACCACCAGATCATTGCACTGCCTGCACTGAGGAGCTCTTCTCCGCCAGGCACTTCGCAGCCAAAGCATTACCTTATTTCCTTGTTTTTACAGAAAGATCTCAATGAGTAGATGAAACAGCTCCAAGAAATACAAAGGTGACAGACTCATGAATAACTTCTCTAGCTCTGGAAGTTATGTCCTCAGCATTACTAACGCAAGCAGACTTCTAGAGAGAAAAAGATAGGCCATGCATCATATTATTACGGTTAGATAAGTGCCAGTATCTGAGTAGGTCCTGGTATGTCACTATCTACAGGACATGAGCCTAAGGGGTTCTGTAAAGACAGCATCACTGCAGCCTCAAAGCAAGCAAGAATGACTAAAAACATTACATTTTTTACCTCTAGCAGAAAAGAGATGTTCATTGTCACAAGTCGCTCACAACAGAAGGCTGAATGGGTGGTTCAGGATGTTGGGAGCCAGCTTTGAGACATTTCTCCCTTCTCTGTGGGTCACAAATTCAGCAGTGGCAATTTGCTTATCAAAGCACCTGGATGGTACTTGCACAGCAGAAGACATTTGGCTACTGGCTTTCCTGTGTCCTGATGCTTCCACCTCCCTCTCTACGAAAAGAGCCGCAGTTTGCAGCTCTAAACACTGTGCATCAGCACAGAAATGAGCCTTCAGATCCTAGGCTCTAAGTGCTGGCCAGAAAACCATTCTATCTCCTTTGTGGGAAAGGCATAAAAGTCAGCTGAATAGGCATCTTAAGGTGCAAAACCAGCCTGAAAATTCAGTTACATCATTTCCAGTTCAAAATAAACCCACTATGGTTAATCCCAGGAACAAAAGTTTTTAGACAGACCTGATTTGTTACATGTGCCTGGGCTTCATCTGAAGACCATTTGCACTGTTCCCATTTTTAAAAACTATACCTTAGATTTTATGCCTATGAGCAAAAAGTTTGAAGAACCCAGAACTCAAGTCCTTCAAGTTTTGGCACCACTCAAACGCAGAAGAAAATACAGGAGAAGTCAACAGGCAGAAATTATCATCTTGACAGAGACTAAAGCAATAGTCTGTTGTAGAAAGGGCAGTGTTCTCCCTTCTTAGGGCAAGGAAACTTAATGTTCATTTTGTACAATCAAGTAGAAACCACGAATCTAATAATTGCTGACCTACTTCAAGCCAGCCACAGCCACCTCTTCCTGTGAAGTTAAGGTTCATGCAATCCAAGAATAATCTCGAAAAGCACAAATTAAAGCAAAAACATATTGGCAGCTGTTTTGAGCCTCCTTGCAGTCAGCAATTCCATCAGACAGTAAAAGACAATAGCAAAAAGCAGTGGTTTGCATTACTAATCAACTTTAAATCTGTCCACCTACACCAAAGCAACTTTAAGATTCATTGACTGTTTACAGCAATTTTGTATCAACTGTTCAGTCTCTTCAGTATTGTACACAAGATATTTTTGAGCAATTTCGCCCTAAGATGTGAAAGAGACAGGAGATGGAAAGAGGATTGCAAGCTCCAGTCCTCTGGAAAAAAGCTGTAGCTAATATCAAGTTGGGTCATATTTTAATATGAGTGACTGAACAGAAGGAGCACATTTTTGTTTGTTTCTGCAAAGGGAGAGAAGAGCTCAGTTCAACTTTTTTGTTGCATCTCCCTGAATAAACAAATTAAATGTAAATCAGCAGGAATTGTAACAGACCTCTAGTTATACAGTCATACCAGTGTTTAGTGCCTATTTCCACACTAGGCACAAGGGAAAGGCTGAAGGGTAACTAGCCCTGTGCACAAAGAGCTCCCTATTTGCATGCCATTAGGCAGCCACTCCATTCCAGCTTCCTAAAGTTTCTCAGGACCTCGAGTGGCGACCACTTCTCCATCTCGTTTTCTAAGGACGAGCTTGAAGAGGTTTGTGCTTGAGCATTTTAGGAGCAGCATTCATACAACCGAGCACACAGCGCTGACTTCCAGTACCAGCTCGGTGTAGGCTCAAGCTGTAGTAAAGCAACAAGAGAGTGATGAGAAAGTGCTGGCTCCGGGGAAGAAATTCTCCTCCAATTCTGAAGAGGCCGAAGCGTGCGGGACTCTTGGCAGGCAGCAGCCCAGCCTAGCTCACTTTCTCTTGACATCTGGATTAGGGTTTTTTTGGTTTTGTTTTTTTTTCCCCCCTAGGTGATGTTACAACGCAAATATTGTCACAACATAACTTGGTAACATCACAAGATCTAAGCCCAGAGTGTTGGAATTTATTTTGTGCATATTTAAACGGGGCTGAATGGAGAAAGACATTGTTTTTTTCCACTTGCTTCATCCAACTCCTGTTTTAAGCCAACTGCTTACTCTAAAAGTAGCAAAATTACCCATCTATCAACACTGACAAAAATTTAACAAACTTAAAAGAGGAAATCTGCGTCTGTTCAAACAAAATACATATTCCACAGGCTGTGAATGCAAAGTCACCTTTCCCCCGCCTCAATTCTGTACTTAGCAACCAGTATTCTTCAACACCAATTTCTCTAAAAAAAAAAAAAAAAAAAAAAAAGTATTTTTGAAGAGACAACCCTTCGATGAGTTCAAAAGGAAAAAAAAAACGACCCAATAATCCAATGACTGTCCTGTATACCTTATTGCTGGCACAAAAAAATGGTAGGATGGATTCTCCGTCCATCTTAGATTGACATAAATAGTGCTGGAGTTTTTCAGCTACATAAATCCTGCTCTGTTTGCGAAGCTTTGAAAGCACACTCTGAAAAATGTTCCTGCCTGCATAATTTTTGTCTTTTTTTTTTTTTTGCTCATCTTATTTTGGGAAAACTTGTATGTGGATTTACAGTCTTTCCTTTCAAACCTATCGTCTGTGCATCTTTTGAGTAAGGGAAGTTTCAAGTAGTGAAGTATCTGAAAGGAAGCTTTTTCTGGTTTTAATTATACGCTTCTACATTCTGTATGAAATATTCTTCCCATCTATATTTTATTCACATAGTGGTTTAAACTGAATAAAGAGACATTCCCATACCCTGTTTTTTCTCCTTAAAACACAATGTCAGGAACAAGCACTGCTTAAAGACACAGGAAAGGAAGATTAAAAGAAGTATGAAGTTTAATAACACTCATCTAAATTTTATAATTAAAGCAGCAATATTCAAAGAAACTCAAAATCGGAAGGAAATTTGTATTCAGGAGAAGACCAAGCATACATTTTTGTCTCAATCTGAAATTCAATGCTCAACTTAATGGAATTTCTAGTGAGCCCTCAGAAACAGCTTTATTTAGGATATTATTCCAACACGGGGATTTTCACAGCCTTCAGGCATACACCATCTCTCCCAATAGAAGGGTAACATCATTATTTGCTGACTGAGTCTGTACATCCTCCAAAGCTGCAGCCTGTTAACTGAGCTCATGCACCCACTTAGCTGGTACTTCGTTTGAACTTTCAAGCAGGTTAAGTTCAGTCAAGAAGACAGTTTGACTCCCTAATTTGTAGCAGGCTAAGAGCACTTAAGCAGTCAGTAACATATCTAATTACTAACAGCACCTCTTAAAATGTTACTGTCTAGCTTAATTGCTAGCAGTTGAATAAACGAACAGCAAGTTAATGACAGTGAACCACTGACACCAGGATCAATACCTGAGAGATTCTGGGAGGCAGGCAACCACAACATTTATTTAAGTTTACTATCAGAAACTCAAAATGTTTGCCATCGCGCTCATCTAAACAAAACCCAAACTCCCCAAGATGCCTTTGCCACTGGACAGCTACTCCCAAAGCTGATCTTCGTTTCCAACTTCTTCCAGGGAAACTTAAACAGGTGCTTGTTCTCAAATCTAGAGATATTACACATTTGCTTCCCCTATTAAATCAGTGCTCTTCCATGCAACTGGCAGGACTGTCCCCTCAGCAGAGGTACTGCCAGAAGCAATCAGATAAGGTTTATAGTGCTGCCTGCTGATCAGCTTGCGAACCCCTTCTCATTTAAATGCCACGAGCCCATAAAAATTCCATGCATCCCCTCTTTGCCCATCCCCACCATCATCCAAGCAAGCAATCTCTGCCAGTCTCCTAGGCTGCAATTTATCACTAGAATGCCTGGTTTAAAATGAGAGCTGAAGACACAACCCAGTGCCCTGCGGCAGTGCCATTTACAGTGTGAAGAAGCAGGGTACCCACCTTATGGCAGCCAGGATAGGTTGCCATGGTGTTGAGGGTAGAGGTGCTGGGATTCTTGCTGGTGCTGGCCATGATGTTCTGGATCTGGGTGAGCTCTTGCCTCAGCACCTGTTTCTGGTGGAAGCTGAAAGCAGGGTGGTTGGATGCCATGGTGAAGAGCAACAGGAACTCATCCCCCGTGCGGCCCTCGTTGAGTTGTAGCCCATAGTTGTTGATGACGGAATCGATATGGGTGAGGGTACGGAAGAGGACCCCGGCCGCCTCTCGGTGGGCAGACCCAAGCAAGGCGAGAGAGACCAAAAGTTTGCTGCGTACCACCTCGTCCGTCAGGTTGGTGAGGCTCCCCAGGTCGGCGGGGTTGTTGGCCTTGATTTCGGAGTCGCGCAGGGAGTGATAGTCCTTGCGGGCCAGGTCCTCCAGGCAGGCGCCCAGGAAGCGCAGCTCCAGCGGGATGCAGAGGTCCAGGAGGCCGCAGAGGAACTCCACACGCTGCGGGGAGGGCAGCTCGGAGAACCAGCGGTACACGCCGTCCCGCTGCAGCCGCGGGCACCGCTTCTCCACCATGGTGCTTCGCCTACCCCCGGCCCGGAGGGAGCACGCCCTGCTGGGGGCAGCGCCGGCGAGGCCGGGCGGCAGCGCCCCGAGGGGGGCCCGCAAGGCCGGCGCCCCGACACCCCCCGAGC